AGGGAGTTTTTCCTCCCCACTGTCGCCAAGTGCTTGCTCAAGGGGGATAGGTTGGGTTTTCCCTCTGTAATAATAGTGATAACAGTCAGGTCTAGACCTTACTTTGTAAAGTGTCCTGAGATGACTTTTGATGTGATTTGGCGCTATACAAATAAAATTTGATTTGATTTGATTTGATTTATACTAGGTAGCAATTTTTGTTTTTGTAACTCATCACTGCACCTTCCCAATATCTGGCACCAAACTCAGGCCCTTGTCAGTGAACTGTGCTTTACCTCCTTGATGTTCAGGTCAATGTTGCCGCTGTTGTTCTTGTCCAGGGTCTTAAAGGATCCTGCAGAACACACACACATTGTTTACTATGTTCAATGACTGAATACAGTTATTATGACATTTTAACAAGTGAATAGTGATGTTTGCACATTTTAAAGTCAAATTATCAAACTGAAAAGAGATGGTCATGCTTTTAGGAGGAACGTTCACATTCGCATTATTTATTTGATGTTACATAAACATTTTTGTATTTTGATGCAAAAGAAATACATTAAAAATTTAGACAAACTGCAAAATCCAAATATACAGTATAGAAAACAGAAAGAGGAGGCGCTGTGATGTTCAGCGTGCGTCAGATTTTTGGTTGAAGAAAAACAGTCGGAGATGATTTTTTTTTCCATTAGACACTTCATTTACTGTAAATGTTAAACACCTCAGGCCTTTTGAACAGTTACAAACATCGAGGAACATTAAATTAGGGTGTATGTATGTGATTTGTAATAAACTTTAAACGAGGTGCAAGAACTTTGTTAAATTCTTACTGAGGTTCAAAAGATACCAAATATGCCAGGTTGACCTGTGTCTTAACATGATGCATGACACAGCTAAAATATCACGCCATGTTAGCAGCAGTTCACTGGACATCAAGTGAGACTAAAGAGAGAGAGACTCACTGCACATGGCGTCCAGTCGCACCAGGCAGCCAAGGAAGTTGTCAAAGTCCATGTTGCCATCCTCATTGCAGTAGCGGCGGGCTATCACCTTTAAGAGTTCATCATTCAACGGGAAACCTGCACACACACAAGCACAATTTGTTTGAATCATCGCGCTTTGTTCAGACTGATTGTTCAGCACAAACAGAGCAGCTTCTCACCTGCATCCCTGAAGGCATTCGGCAGCCCCGCAGCATTGATCACACCTGAACCACCAGCATCATGTTTCAAATAGACAGCCTGGAGACGAGGAGCAGCAAACAAATAATCAACAGACGCAAACACAACTTCTGAAACGGGACAAACATTTTGTCACAGAGCGTCAGACTGGACCTCGGCAGATTCTCTGGCAGCTCTGTGGTTTCCTGACAGGAAGAAACAAAGACCACGTGTGCGCCTGTGAACTGACCTGCCACTTCTTGATGTTGTTCCAAAGGTACTTGAACTCATGGAAGCCCAGTTTCCCTGTGCAGTCATTCTGAAGGCAGTGGGGTCAAAGGTCAAACCTGGGACTCACGGAGGAGTGCAAACATTTGCTTAGAATATTTATGATTCTATTCTTTACCACATTTTGTTTTTTTTACTGTTTATTTAAACTTACTACTTAGTTCTACTACTGCTGGTACTGCTACTACCAGTGACGTGCGGTGAGGTTGACAGCTGGTGAGGCACTGTTAGTCAGATTTACAAATGCAAATGAACCATTAACAAATTGTCTGTTAACAGACAATGCGTTATGTTTTATATCTCATATCAGCATTCTTCACACAAACGTGACCCATATTTAATTTGAGGTTAAAATTTATTCCAGTTGAGCTTATTTCTAACTAGAAATAATAAAAGTTTATGGTCTTACCTTTACTTGTACACGAAATCCATTTGTCAGCTGGTATGTATTACAAACCCTTTTACCGTTTGAATCCAATATTAAAACAAATGTTTTCAATAAAGAAGATCCTTCTGGACAAAAATGTCCAGACTGTCAAAAATGTTTTGATTGAAAGTCCAGATTTGCGAATTTTCTCATCTTGGAAATGTAATCTTCCATTTTGATAAGGCGGATTGTAAAGGAAATATAAACAAGCA